GAGGAGAAGCCACATGGACCTACCCCGATGCAGTCCTGGGTGCTGGAGCAGCCGTGTGGAGGAGACCCCTGCCAGCACTGAGATGCTTACATGTTCACTGACTCGGCTTTCCTCCTGCAGTCAGCATCAGGGCATGTGTTTTGTGGGATGGAGGAAGACTTTGTGGATTGGTGTTGGACATATGGGCTAATGGTGGACTTGTGGGCTTGGGCAGCACTGGGATGGGATGTTTTCTTGATGTGCACTTACACTTTATATAAAACTTTCTCTTATACATATGGGTTTCTGTGGACTTGTTTCTCTAAAGCAGGGGTCCTCAAACTATGGCCCACAGGCCCCATGCGACTCACCGAGGACATTTATCTGGCCACTCCGGGTGTTTTTGCCCCATTTGGTTTTTTACTTCAAAATAAGATATGCAGTGTGCATAGGAATTTGTTCATAGTTTTTGTTTTTAACTATAGTCCGGCCCTCCAACAGGTCTGAGGGACAGTGAACTGGCCCCCGGTTTAAAAAGTTTGAGGACCCCTGCTCTAAAGTACCCAGACTAACACAACCAGTATATAAAATACAAAAACAGGAGAGGGATGCAGAGAGAAGATGGAAACATGACAACAGGCTGAGATTGGGGTGATGCAGTTACAAGCCAAGGAATGACAAGGCATGTCAACATCCATAAAAAGTTAGAAAAGGACAAAGGAGGATCTTCCCAAAGCAAGCATGCCTTTCCACCATCTTGGTTTTAGAATTTTAGAGTCCAGAACTATGTGAGAATAACTTTCTGCAGTTTGAAATCCTCCTGTGGGAGCCATGCTGGTTTTGTGTGATAGACTCTGGGCTGCTAACCAACCACAAGGTCAGCAGCTCGAAACCCCCAACAGCTCTGAGGGAGAAAGGTGAGCTTTTCTGCTCCTGTAAAGATTTAAAACCTCCTCAGATACCCAGAGGGCCAGTTCTCCTCTTCCTGGAGGGTCGTTGTGAGTTGGACTAGACAGTGGCAGGGCATTTGGTTTTCACAAGTCTAGGACATGAACACAGTCCCCAAAGGCAGTCTTCTTCCAAATCCATGTCCCGGCAGGCCTTTCTTTAATTCTCTGGTCATGCTTAATATTCTCCCTATTTTATGTTGTATTACTTCTACCATCTACTTAATGATACGTGTGTAGGTGAATTCCTAGTCAGCAATTCAGTCGTGATTTGCCAAGCACTTACGATGTGCCAAGCCCTTTTCAAAGTATTTGTGGAAGGGCCAAGGATAAGGCATATAAGCTCCCTGCTTTCCAGGAAAGACAAGACAATAAAAACATATCCAAGGAAATCTATAAAGTAAATTTCTAATAGTGATACTTGCTATAAAATACTTTTTGTAAAGGAATAGGGAGCGAATATATATGTTGAGAGGCGTATTTCTCCTAAAGTGGCCAGACAAGGCTTCTCTCAGTAGGGACCAAGTGGACTTTGGGCTGAGAGGCAAACACCAAAGGACTCCAGTCTGCAAGCTTGGGGATGGTGGTGGGAGAGTTCCAGGCAAACGGAGTAGCAATACTTGTGCTCTGAGCCAAGGGGCAGCTTGGCCTATTGAATGAATAGTCCTGTGGTGGAGGAGCCATGGTAGAAGATGGGCCAGATAATTCATTTCTAATAATTTCTTAGATAATTATTAGTAATTTCTTAGATAGTTTCTTGGGTCAAGATAAATGAGGATGTATATATGTGCCAACAAGGAAGACGGTGCGCTTCTACGGGACAAGGTAGTGTCTCAAGATTCTGAGCTCTCAAACAGTGCCTGGAATCAAGTAGGTCCTCGATAGTGCATGTTGTGTGAATCAATAAGCAAATAAATGGATGAGTGAATGACTGAATAAATATGGCTGTTTTCACTGAGGCAACTTTTTCATGGAGGTTCTTGATGTACACCAACCCCCACACTACTTTCCCTTCCACCCTAGCAACAGTTTCCTGTCTTTGTAATAGAGTAAGTCCAGAGCTATTTTCTGTGATTCAATATTTACTGTGTTTCACACACTGTTATTATCATTTAACGTTTACTGTCTGCTGACTGTGCACTCATCGCTGTAGCAAACAAAGAGCTCAATCTAGTTTTGGTTCATGGGCTAATTTAGTCAAGAAAAGGAGCCGTTGTAAGAACAACTGACAGAGTAGAAATTGCATGTTCTGGGAGTCTACTGGGTATGGCCGAGTACAAATTCACTATTGACCTTGGCAAGTCACTAACCCTTTCTGATCCTCCGTTGTCCAATCTAGAAATAGAGAGGGTAAGTAAGCCTCTTTGATAGTGGCATTTCAGGCACAAGTCAGAAGGGAGGGGGGTCCCAGAAGTAAGTAGCCAAATTTCCATAAGGATTCGAACATATGCGTCACCTCCCACCACAGGTGCCTGGCTGTGCCACCCAGAATGTGGCCTGCCACTGGGGTTTTCTACTGATGTGTAATTTGACCAGCTTTCAACACACCAATTTCCCAGCCAGCCAGCAGCACCTGGGCCCTCCTTCTTGAGCTACTTGACTTAAAACCAGTTGCCATTGAATTGACTCCAATTCATGGCAACTCATGTATGTCAGAGTGAAACTGTGCTCCATCGGATTTTCGTTGCTAATTTTTTAAAAAGGTAGATGCCTAAGCCTTTCTTCCAAGGAGCTTTCTTCTTTTCTAGATTAACCTTGAACCTCCAACCTTTCTCTTAGCAGATGAGCACGTTAATAGTATTCACCACTCTGAGATACCTGTTGTTTAATTAGAGCACTGTGTCCAGAGGCAGCTGGGTTCCCTGAATCTCTGGCTCTGGACTGGATGCAAAGAGAAACGGAGTGTGGCACTGAGCAAGGTAATTTCCCCAAATGTCCTCACCTTGCTGTGGCCCAGCTGGCTGCCTGCCAGGAAAGCTACTGACAAAGCTTCAGTTGTGGGGGACTGTGAGGAAACCCATCACCCCAGCACTGGAGGGAAAAAAGGTGCTGAGGAGAGCCCTGTTTTTCAGCCTGGGCACTAAGCCATTGCCTCTCGTGGAGCATGACGGAGTCTGCAGGCCTGTTTTCTACAAGCTGATGGACTTTTTAGATTACCTCCAGCCCTGCTCAAGTCTTTCTGTAACAAGGGAAGTCCAGGAATGTTTTCACCTGGGTGAATCACTTACTCCGTTCCGGCCACTTTGTCTTTACTTGGACATAGGGGGCGAGTCATTGGAAGGTTTTGAGCAGAGGAGTGACATGAGCCGACTTAAACTTTGTCAGGATTTGTTGGGCTTGGGGGTGAAGATTAGACAATGCGGGCAAGGCTTGAAGAGAGCCAAGTCAAGAGATGTGGGAAGGCAAGCCAGACAAGAATGGAGGGTCTTTTAGGCCAGGGGGCTGCAGTAGAAGCTCCGAGTCTTCTGTTTTGGATCAGTTTGAAAGACTTTGCTGATGGATTAGATGAGGCATGGAAGACAGAGGAAATGGTCAAATATGCTCAAGGCTGATTTTCCAGAGCATGTGAAGGGTCCATTAGATCCTGTCCTATTAAGCCTAAAAATTCTAACAAATATTAATATTAATAGTTAACTTTTTCTTTTTCAACACTTACTAAATGCCATAGATTGTTTCCCTAAGGACTTTTAATCACGGATCTCAAAGAGGTAGAGTCCACTGGGAATGGACAATACACTAATAATTCAGTAGAATATGGTGAGCAAGCATCATCTTCTCATCATTCAAGGTCACCACATATGGCGAGGCTGCAGTGGGGCACGGGGGAAAGAGGACTGAATAAGGAGCATTTCTAACTTGGCCATCAATCCTCCTCAGGTTTGTGTGTGCATCTTGAGGCTGAGCGTCTTGGAGTAGTAAGGATACTGTCTCCGGATCCATTTTGTGTCTCTTGAGCAGGTGCAAAGTTTTAGGTCTTAGGCACTATTAACACTGCTTCTCTACAGGTTACTTGGCTTTGTCTTCTGCAGTAGCTTAGTAGAGTCCAGAGTGGGTAATTCACCAAGGACCTGACCACCTTTCCATTTACTCATGAGAAGCACTGAGGAAGTCTTGTCCTTTTAGGAACATAGTTACTTGAGCAGGGGACACTGTGCAAAGTTGTGAATGACCCCATTGCAGTGCCATTATTGGCACCTTGTACCCCTACCTTTCTTATCTAATCCCGGTCTGTGATAAGGGTAATATTGCATAGGAATACTTTTGAACCAGTCCTTGCTTTTGAAAGCATCTGCAGACAGCTTACAGAGGGGGAAATGACATAGGGGCAAAGGGCATAAAATTCAAATCAGGAAAACCATTTAACAACTCACTAAAATTTCCCAGCTCTCCATGAGACTATTGGGGTGGGACAATGGTAATTCAGATACTTGAAGCCCCAGAAACCATTTGTTTCCCTTTTCTTTTTTGCTTTGGAGTACAGGATATAAACGATAAACAAATGGAGCTCCTCTGACTGAACCAGAAGAGACCCTAACCCTTGCCAAGCCCCCTTCCTTGCAGGGTGACCCCGAGATCCCTCAGCGGGACCCCTGCTGCCTTGAGCTCTTCCAGCTCTGAGGTCCAACAGTTCAGCTATGAGTACTCTCATCTCAGCTTCGAGGGAATTTGCATTCAGAACTCCGCCCCTCTTGGAGATGTCCCCCCTCTTGTTCTTTAGGATCCATACCCTAGAAGAATGTTTTGAGTGATCTCGACTTCTGGCTCAGTTTGCTTGCACTGACTGAAAAGAGTTCATTTCCTTATCATGCCTGGTAGTTTTTAAAAGGGGGGCATTACCTTTGGCACCCAGTAAGCCCAGTTCAGGACCTGACTATGCCACTTCCTAGCTCTGTTATATGGGGACCCATTTTGGCCACAATTGACCCGTCTTTAAAATGGAAACAATGGTTTCTGGCTCAAGGTTTAATGTAAAGAAAATTATCTGGCTTGAAGTAGGCACCTTGTGAGCTTCTGAACAGCCAAGTACCAAAGCCGGGCCTGCAGCTCATGGAAATCTTGGGTTTTGTCTTGCAGAGATGTCTGGCACGGCGGCGGACATCTCGCTGGTGCACTGGAGACAACAGTGGCTGGAGAATGGCACCCTGTACTTCCATGTGTCCATGAGCAGCTCTGGGCAGCTGGCCCGGGCCACCGCCCCCACCCTGCAGGAGCCCTCCGAGATTGTAGAGGAGCAGATGCACATCCTGCACATTTCTGTGATGGTGAGTGACTGGGAAGGCCGGGGATGGAGTGGGGCAGGGAGACGGAAGCTGGTGGGGGATTGCCAGCAGATGGCTGGGAAAGCTGGCTGCCTCCAAGGTTAGAACGACAAAAGGAAGGTCAAATGGATTCCATGGTGTCACTTGGACTGATGCACACCCATCCATCATCTGTCAGCTGTGACAAACTAATTATGCGTTGGAGAAGAAAATAAAGGGTCTCCAACTCCTTGGCCTTTTGGCCGACATCTTGGGGAATAGCAGTTTAGCATCTGCAGTGTGCTTGGCCTGCCTTGCTGGAGCATGCAACGTGGTGCTTGAAGCTGTAACTGACGCTTCCAGTAATGACTGAGCAAACAAAACCAGAATGGGCTGCTCTTTGCCGAGCACCCTTGAACATACTCGGGGCTTTAATGCTCACAACAACAGTTGCAGTGCAGTTCCTGCGCGGGGGGGTGGGTGGGATGGGGTGGGTGGGCAGGTGTTGGGCTGTGTGTGATCTCTGACTTTGCACATGGCAGCCCCCTTCATGGTGCTCAATGTATAACTGTGAATACCACATCAGAGGTGCTTGTCAAGGTCACTTTGCTACTAAAGAGATGGCACTCTACTCTTCGGTACTTGAACCCCAGCAAGTTTAGCTACAAAGCCTGGACAATGTCCTCTAGAATCTGTTATGAAAGGATTTCGGCTTCCTCTCTGAGCAGCATCCCAGTGTGTTAGCACTAAGCATGGTTGGTGTTAGGCCTATCACCCCCATGTTAGAGATGATCTTCTTCTCTGTTGGCCTCTGACCTGGAGCTCTCTGATTTTGCCACCTTCTCACAGAGAAAGAGAGAGAGAGATTCTCGGATTGAAAGCACTGGGATGGCAGTCTGAACTGTACACATGTTTCTCTAACATGAAACAAAACCGTAATTAATATCTTTGCATGTAGATGCAGCACCAAGGAAAGCCACTGCCGCGGAGATGGTGGCAAGTCATAGCAACTCTCTTTAGTTTCGAAGGTTGTGAATTTTGATGGGAGAAGATTGCCTGGTCATTCTCCCAAGGAGTGCTTGTGGGTTTGAACCGCTGACTTTGTGCAGCAGGTCAATGCTTACCCCACAACAATTCAGTTATGGAAACATATAGCATCTAATGGACCCAGAAAGAGAGATTTGATCATAATAACACCTGACACCCTCTAATGCTTTTTACTCCTCAAAGCCACCCCTACATTAGTTTCTCCATCAGCACAACCCTGCCAGATACAGGAAAGTAAGAACTGGTATTTTCAGTCTAGATGTGAGGCAGGTATAGCTGAAAGAGATGAAATGACTTGTCTATAGGCACTCAAAAAAGTGGGCCAACTGCTGTATTGATTCCTCCATTGAACAGCCAACGTGTATTTATTGGGACTGTGCAAGGGGACAGGCCTTTGGGTTGGATTTGGGTTCTTGGTGTTTTTTGTAGTTTTTTATTTTCTGCTTGTAACCCGCTTCATTAGGCATACTGATTAGGGCTGAGTAAGAACTTGGAACTTGCCTTCTCATTTTGGAAAAACACACACACATACCCCAGTCAGACAGCAATGTTAATTTTGGACTTAACACGCGCTCATCATGTGAAGAACAAATCAAGTCCTTTGTGTTATTCATGGAATGAGTGTGATAGGCTTTTTTTCATATATATATATATATTTAGCGAATGATGCAGCCACATGCCCAGGCAAATGGATGCCTGCATGTTAACTTTTAGAGCAAGTTTATACACACTATCTTGGGATACTTTTTGCTGAATTTCCTTTGAGACAGGTGGTACCTATTCTTTCTTTATTATTTCAGAAATAGACTCCAATGTAATGAATACATATTGAACATGTTCTGTGTTCTGGAAACAACATTTACTTCCTGTATATATCCTTCCTGTAACCCAGTAACCAAATAGTAATATCTCATTTATAATTAATCTCAAGTGTTTTTCTCTCCCACCTCACCTAGTGTTTGTTTGACTGCATTTGAAGGCTTTCCCAAGGAGTATCAACCGTTCACACTCCCTTCTTCTCAGGGAGTTAAATTTGGCAAGATGAACTCACTAAGACTTAGATGTTTGAGAATCTCTATAATTTCAAATTTGCCTCTTAAGATTGGGGCATGTGGCTATTGGCAACTCCAGACTCCCCCCTACCCACTGTTTAAGTGGCCCAAGGCCACCCTCTTGTGGTCCTACAAGTTCTGTTTCCACCCTTCAGTGCTCAAGAATCTGGATCTTTCCTGCCCCACTTTTAGAGAACAGAGTTGGGTCCAGGGTCTTGAAGCCCCATTCTGCCACTTAAGGCTCTGGTTGATTTCATCACAGTATTCAGCCCTGTGTGCCTTGTTTCTGTTGGCTGTAAAGAAGGGATTAATACTTCTCTATATGTACACTAAATGCTTGAATATGAGGAGCATGGCACATAAGAGTTTTCGTTTTCATTATTAAGAAAGTTGAGGCTGAAAAGTTTGATACGCATTGATTTATTATACCCTTTCATATCATAGATGGATAAACTGAGGTTGAAAGACAGACACAGACAGGTGCAGGATCCTCTGACCGGTTCAGGAGCGTGGCCGAGTGTCCAGGCATTTTTGAAACAAGGCCTGGTCTTCCTGTTCTGCCCACAAGAAATTCAGCAAGAACGAAAAGAATGTTTTGCTCTGGTCCCTGCCTTCTAATCAGCCACTCAAGTTGGTATTCAAGGTGGTAGGGATCTGACTGCCAGTTTCGCAGATGAGAAATGTGAGACTCGGTGAGTTTAATTGGCATGCCCACAGTTTAACAGGGTGGCGGTTCTGAAACCCAGCTTTTCTCAAGGTTTCAAACTTGTACCATATGGATGCTCATGGTATCATGGTTCTTGCTTGGACAGTGTTCTTACTATTGCTGTCTGCCTGTCTATCTATCATCTACCTATCTATTATCTATCTATCATCTACCAATTATTTTCAGATGGTTTATGAGTAGATCCAAACCACACAATACAATCTCAAAGCTATCTAGAGGCCAGAGTCAGGGATTGCCTTCCATTCTTTCTCAGCAAAAATGCCCTGCCTGCCCATGCAGTGGAACCAATTTCTGCTCACCCAGTGGAACGTGCTACAATCCGTGCCCACTGGAGGGGAACCAGCAGGCTCTTTAAGCCTTGTTAAACCCTGCATTGGGTATCTCCGTGTCCCAGAAGGCTGCATCATCTGACTATTAATATCCAAACGGGTGATGCATAGGGAAGTACTGAGTGAAAATAGGACAACAGAAAGGGAATGGACAGTCCTCTCTTCTAGTCCCCTTCTCAGTTTTGGTAACTGATATGTCACGTGCCCTCCTCAGCTGCACAGGTGATATGACACAGAGAAGAAAACAGAGGTTTGGAGATCGTTGGTGAAAACAAAAGTGATTTTACCCATCTCAGAAGTTGGTGAAAGCAGTAGAGGAAATAGATATCTAGTCCCTAATATTCAGGCTTGCACATTGTGGGTAGACAACTGTGATGGTTGAGATTATATGTCAATCTGGTTAACACAAGATTCTCACTGATTTGGAAGATATTGTGTCACCATCCTTCATTTCGAGATCGGATGTAAGCAGCCAATCAGTTCAGAGTGGAGTTCCCTTAGGGGTGTGGTCTGAATCCAGTCTATATGACTGTCCTGGGGAAGTTTGCCTTCTTTTATTCCTGTAGTGATGCAGCATCCTTTGACCTTTGATGTCTCCATACACGTGACTTCACTGGTTTTGCTCCTCTTGAGAGCCTTGCTTACGACACCCAAAAACAAACAACCAATTACAAGTGTCTTTCCGGTGCGTTCATTCATCCATCAGCACTTCCTAAGAACTGAACGTGTGCTAGTCATACACCAAATGATGGGAACGCAATAATAAATGTCTGTGTCAGAGCAAAACTGTGCTTCGTACAGTTTTCATTTATGATGATCTCTTTAAATTAGGTCATTAGGCCTTCCTTCCTGGGCGTCTTGGTTGGTCTTGATCCAACTTTGATTGGTAGGCCACCATTGAACTGTTCATGCCACCCAAACACAATGACTATTGCCATTGCAGCGCCATTTAGAGGACTTCAGACTGGGACGACGAAGACATTGGATTTAGTTTGACTTTTGATCCTACTTTTATTTTTATTCTAGACAAATAATCATAATGTCTTATTTTGTCAGGTACTGTCCCAACTTTTTCCTGCATTAGCAATTTTAATTCTCAAAACAAATCTTAAGGTGGATACTATTATTATATTCTATTTATAAATGAGGAAACTCATCTGTGTGACCTTGGTTTCCTACAGATTAAATGGGACAGCCAGTATTTCACTCTGTATGGGCTGCATTTAAGCTGATCACCACTTTTCTCCTCTGGCCTCTACGTCTTGGTTTAGACTCTAAGATTTCTTGAAGGAATTCTTAGACTCTTCCTTCCATGGGCTCCATGAACTACATCAAGGGAGTTTATGACTTGGAAGTCAGCCTCCAGGTTGTGCAATTGCTCTGTCACTAGCTTAATGGCCTTGGTCAAATCAACCTAATCAACTGTACAACTGTGATAGTAGCGCCCCGCCCCCACTCAGAATTGTTCTATGTATCCACTGATAGCCCATGTGTATGCAAGTGCTGCCCACAGGGAATGTCCAGGCTGCCATTATTAGGGACTTTTTATATGCATCCTGCCATTTAAATCTTATAATACCTTGGCGAGTTTGATACAGTTGTTGTCATTTATTTATAGACGAGGAATGTGGGAGTTCTTGGAGTTTTGCAATTTGCTCAAGTTCTCACCACCACTAAGTGCGAAAGCCGGGATTCCACTTCCCATCTGTCCAGACTCCGCCTCTGTGCTCTTGGGCACAGTGCCGCATGTGCGAGATCCGGTCAGGGATCACAAAGTGGTAGTCATTATTACAATGTTAGCTAGAGTGAGGATCCCTCTTGCCTGTTATCTGTGACATATTCTCTCGGGGTGCTCAAGATCCTCGATAG